ATAGAAATAATTATTTGAGAGGATAACAAGGACGAAAATAATAATGGAACTGAGTTGCAAAGCTGCTATACTGTTGTCGGTTATGATGATGATGATGATGATGTTGATGATGATGATGATGATGATGATGCTGACGATGACGATCACAGCTTGCTTGCTTGCTTGCTTGTCCTGTTCTATTCAACCCAACGCTATTCATTCTGATCGCTATTTGTTATTCAGATTTAACAGCTGATGATGGTAGCTGACTGATGTTGTTCAAATGCTGAGGACCGTTTTGGATTAGATTCTTTTCCACTTATGTTCAGCAATGGATCATCACTAAAAGTGACAACGATTAGTGACTGCTTCAGCAATTTCTCGATGGGAGGGATGCTTATTGTTGTCGTTATTGTTGTTGTTGTTGTTGGTAGTCTTAGTGGTAGTGGTGGTGGTGGTGGCGGTGATGATAGTAGTGGTGGACTTAGTGCTGGTGTTGTTGATGTTGTTCAGTAATATTTCATTGAAAAACCTCCCAACAATTTATATGTTTGCAGATTAGAAATGCTTAAGCATCAAGATAAAAACAACAAAAAAAAAATCTTTGATACTCAAATCACAGTTGGTCTGATGACTTTTTGAAACTATGAACAAAATTGATTAGCAAAGAAGAAGAAAACTGAGGCAAAAAGCAAATGGGCTAAAAATTGAGAGTAAAAATTACACTGAACTTAAAATAAATGAAAAAAAGAAATTTATTTTGTTTAAAATAAAATTTTTACAAAGAAAAAAAGACTTATTTTTTCTTACAATTAATACTGTGCTAAAAATAATACTGCACCACTATAACGGTTCTTTGTTCGTCCTCAACTATTATCGTCAGTTTTTGCTTTTTTTTTTTTTCCCCAGTTGATACAGATTAAAGCAAATGTAAAGGCAATAATTTTTTTTTGCACTTTCTTTTCCAAATACCATATAAATCTAAATTTTCCTCTTCTTTGTTTTTTTTTTTTCTCAAACTCTTCAAGGTGTTCCTTAGTTGAGAAAAAAAAACAACGTGTAGCAGTGTTTTCCCCTCTGATACTGTTGCTGTTGTCGTTGTTGTTGTTGTTGTTTTTAGTGGACAATCAGTGCCAAAGTCAAGATCAAGTTTTTCAATAAGCTGATAGATAGATATACCACATCAGTGACAACAACAATTGCACTTCAACAATTGCTCTGATAAGTATGATGGAGTGGATTATCAAAAAAAAAAAAAAGGATAAAAAAAGACAAAGAATTACTTATTTTGCTAACTTAGACCACTTCACTGTTTCCATTTTTTTTTTAGCACTGTTACAGATTTTTTCTCGTCGCTTCGCTCTTCCTATCCCCCGTAATAGAGGTCATTTTATAGGTGCTGATGACAATGATATATGTAATTCTTGAAGTAAATTCATGCATAACCCATCTGAATTGCTAATTATTGGTAAATGTTAATCTTTGTTAAGCTATTTATATGGATTCCTTGTCACTTAAGTGCGATACCGTGCTGATCTGATCAAAGATGACCTCTTGGTAATCAGGTTTTTTTTTTTCTTTTTTTTTTCAGCAAATCCAATCTGATGTGTTGTTATTGGATAAGATTGCAAGGGTTTTTTTTTTTTTTTTTTTTGCAACATCTTTATACCACCATCACCATCGTGCTGTGTGTTGTCTATAATCAACTTGTTACAGTAGCGTTCTCGGTGTTGTTCAGTGTGTAGGGAAACAATGATGTTTGCAACAGTGTCAAACCTGTACCGCTGCCGGTTTTCAATGTTGGCGACTCATATAACAACCCGGCGTTGGATACGTAAACTTTCACACAACCTTAGTAGTGCTGTCGCCTCTTTAGTCATCCCGTCCACACATATTTAATCCATCGTCTACCATGCCCTTCTACATGCCTCTCCGGCACTGTGTCTGTTTCTCTTCAAAAATTCATATCTTTTCCGTATCTTTTAATCTTTCTATCTCTGGTACACTCTTTTTTTGTGTGTACTGCCTTATGAGATTGTTTTACAGAAGAAGAGGCTGAAACTGAGGGATGGGATATACGACGGACGTTTATAATAGTGGTGGGCCTTTGTAAAAAGCAACTAAAATAAATTAGAAATCTGAAGCACACAGACATAGATGATGGAGGAGCCACGCCCTTGCAAGAGAAAAAAAAAAAAAAGAAGAAGAAATTATGTTTGTATAATTTTATGAAACGACAATTATAAAACTGTTTTACGGAAGAATATCAACTGATTTTAATTTTAATTTTTCCTTTCTGTTTTATCCACCTCTTTGTTTCCTTTTCATTAGTTTTTTTCAGTAGTTGTTTTTGGTTAAAAAATATTTTGCTTACTGAATTACTACTGTTAAAAAGTTTGTGCATCCAAAATGGATGTGGGTATATGTTTTTACCACAATCGTAGAAATGATATTTTGCAGATCTGTTGTTATTTCCGCCAATATTTTTTTTCTTTTCATTTTATCTCTTTCTTTTTTTTTTTTTTTTTTTTTTTTTTTTTTTT